GGAAAGTGGAAGAAAGTGGTAGGTAAGGGGGGGGGGCAGTATTTTCTTCGCAGTTCTTCACCCTTGCAAAATGTGGCGCCAGCATCTGTGGCTCTGCTACCAGCCGCTTTCGAACCAGACGAATATGATGTTCGTGGTGGGGCAGTCAAAGCGCATGCGGCGGCAAAAATCTCACAGAATCCACCCCGGGGACAAGAAAAGTCGAGCCCAGGTTTTGAAGAGAGGTACTGTAATGCGTAAACACTGCCATTTGACAGAACCCTAGTGCAGGCTCAGTACAGTAGTGAGGGTCAAAATTCGTCCTTCGGTCATCCCTTCAGACTAGGTATTCTTTCTTTAGGTGGAGAAAAGTGGCTACTGGAATCAGATGTCCGATTCTCGATTGAAGTCGTTGAAACGAAGATTCGTCGTGCTCAAAAATAATCAGCTCAGCTTTTATAGAACCGCTGTGAGTGCTTAAGGGATCACCATTGTCTTGAATTAGAAGAGTATTTCTTTCTACTACAGAAAACCATTTCAAAAGGAGAAGATCCCCTGATGACGATAGCCGTGTCGGACATAATTTCTGTGGCCAAGATCTGCCAACAAGGCTCTACTTACGCGTTTCAGGTAATTTACAATTGTCTTTCTTTAGCTGCCTTTTACAGTTCCTGTTGTTTCGCTTATTTCTAGTGATTTGGCGCTGGTAGCCTTGGGGACGATTCCAAAGAAGTATTTAGCCGAATTTGGAGCTAACGTAATGTAAGCAAAAGGGCCGATTTTCAACTTAGGTCACCTTTCTCGAGGCTACCCCCCTCTTCCCTTGAGTGTACTTCTTCACGAAATGCAAGGACACATTTTCACCCAGAGGCCTACATATTGGTGTTAGCAGCCAGATTTTTTCAAGTGGTTTATAATTTATGTTAATTTCAATAATTACAGTTGGTGACGCAATCGGCCAAGTACCATTTCATGACAGAGAGCGAAAGGGGGCAGAGAGAGCGAAAGGACAACTCACGAATGGGTCACCACATTAAACGCCGTTATTAAAGGTGAGGTTATTATACTTGTAAGATAGTTCCAGTTCAACCTAGGGAGACACACCGGCTTTATATGAAATGAAACGTAGCAACCGTTCCTTGAACAGTTTACACAGCCTTTTAATGGGCATAAGGTACTGTGCGCTCCTGGTACCAGTCTGAAATGGTGATGAGGGTGGCTAAATAGTCGGGAAGTGACAGAAAAAGCGAAAGTGAAACGGTCAAGGACACTGCGAAAAAGCCTTGATCGCCACGACAAGAGACAATTTCGAAATTTTCTCGTTGGCATCTAGCCAGTAAACCGCTGCGGTAGATCTGCTGCTAGTTTAACGGATCGGCGGACATTGGTGGCGGGCGGGCGGGTGTCGATTCGGCATGTTGCGGCGGCAATGATGGGACGCTGCAAGGGTAGCTTCTTGGAAAGGGCGCCACGCAGGCCTTCTTGTGCTTCAGGAGCGCCAATAATTGGTCCTCCCAGGCGTATCATTCTTACACGTCTTGGGGATTTCTCGTGATACTTGCCTATAGCTTCATGTGTTACAATCGCTCCGAAGTGAAAGCAACGGGTTCCAGAAAAACCACTCAAAGGAAGCGGTGGTTGCGATGACTATGAAATGAAGAAGGTTATGTGGGAAAGGTAGTGCGGTACGGCACAGAATTGAGGCCCAAAGTTGCTTGAGCGGATCACACATCTCCTCATTTCCATGTTGTCCAAGTCGGCCTTCCAGCCAAAAGTAATGCTTCCGGACAAGTTTCATGGAATGGATGCATTCAACGTCTCTTGTACAGTCATAAGGTTCATTACTGCGAATTCAGTACGACGAAGAATCGTCCACAGCCTCGCGATATTTTCGATCTTTTACCTCTACAGTTGTTTGAAGCTAGAGAGCCCTGAAAAATGCGTTTCTAACATTCCTTTTGGTATTTTCCCTTCATGAGGTCCACTTTCGCGACTTCTCTTCGCACATTTTGGCAAGAGTCACTGAGCTTTTCTAATCGCGGACCGTGCTTGGAGAGGCCAAAAACAGGAGGGGCGTTTATTTTTTGGTAGGCTGCTCTCGTAGTAACCATTACTTTGAAGCATACGGGAGAGAAGGTAGGAGATCTTTGGCCAGGGGGCTCTCGATAAGAAGACTGTCGAGTTTTGGTTAGCACGGTTTCCAGCAGGATCCCGCAACAAAAACGAGAACAGCGTTAACAAGTTGAATCGAATTGAGGAAACACTTTAAATTTGAAGGCGGCAGTGCACAGTGGGCATCACTGTCCCTGCTGCGTAGGTATTCCGGAGACCGTGGTACTGTGTATTTTATAGATGTAAGCTCTTTCATTCTTTCGCCGCCAAATTGGGCACAGGGTTGTCCCCTGCGGACTCATACTTCTTTCCTTCTTACATTTTTCGAAGGTCGTCCGCATAATCCTTACTTCTAGAAAGTATTCGACAGTGTTAAAAAAATATCGCCTGAAAACAAAAAATGCAATAATCACTCTTACCCAGTAATGCACTGCATTGAACAGGATAGACGAGCACATGACATATGACAGTAGCGCGCCCTTCGAATTTGCACTAGTGCAAGGTATACTTATTGGTAACTTAGGTTCAACATTGAGAGATTTGGCTACTCGTTGTGCTCCTGTGGAGGCATCGATCAGTGGCTGGATGACCAGAGTTCGCTGTGGTCACTCGAAGCGCGTCTACGCATCGCTGGTCCGACACAAGCTCATGTTCTTCAAGAATGCTGAGGATACGGTACGTTAATGAGTCCTTACAAACTGCCCAAAAACGACAATTCACAACTTACAAACTTGAGAAGTGATGCTGTAGAGTTCTTGATAGATACAAAAAATTTCATTGTATATAAGAAAATGATGGGGACAGGTATGCCTCAGTCACTCACAGTCTTATTCGCTGCGGACCGCGGGGCGTGTCAGGGGAAAGGGTTTGGCGCGACGCCAGCCAAGTTTCCACCTAAATGTTGTCGCTTGCACCCTTGAACAAATGGTGGAGAACCAATCTGGCGCCGCTCCGCTGATGCGCCTCAGCATCAGTACCAAACAAGACCAGTTTCTTTCTCCAATTTCCTTCGCCACTGCTTGATATCAACCTTGAGAAAGGCGCGAAACGTCATAAAACAGCGACGGCAATCTTGCGCTGGGAAGAACTTTGAGTGAAACCCACTCCACTGCGGTTGATGCTCCAGTAATTCATTTTTCAAAAAAAAACCCAAATTATAAATTAGTACAACTTCTGTCCGTCCTTGATACAAACCTTTTTTAGGTCCCATGCGGCTTCACACAGCTGAAAGGTGCTCGAATCATGGACAAGCAGAAAATGTCTTCTGATGAGTACAGTGGCAGTAGTGATGAACAAGAACCCCGACAAGAGTTCACAATCAGCCAAAAAAGACACTTATAGTCTTAGTATTGAGGTAGATTCACATCCACGGCCATCCATATTTTATTGATAAACTGATAATTATTTCCAGATGGCCAACGAAGATCCGATTTACATAGTGTTGAGGAGTAGTGAGGAAAAGGAGAAGTGGCTGTACTTTTTACGAGCTGCCAGTGGCGATGCGACGCTGTGTGGTTCTCCGTTCGCGATTCTTGTGCAGCGAATGTTGGCTGAAGGAGGAGCACCAGGTAGACACTCAGATCCCGCCTCTATTATGCTATCTTAGCTTTGCACTTCAGATTCACCATTATGGAACGATTTGCTGTTGACGTCTTGTGATGATACACCAAAGGACACGCTCATGGATTTTGAAGGACCCGACAAGAAGAAAGCTCTTGAAATAGCTAAGGTAAGAAAACCACGAAGAAAATGAAGTACGATGGAATTCTTGGGAAACTACCAGCGTAAATGGCAGCTTGTTTCGCAAATGAATGGCAACTCGGAGGCACCAAATGGTACCCAGCAAGCTTCGCAGGCCACCTTGGCTTCGAAGGGGTTTACAGGCCTGCTCGAGGGTGAGACCATCTCACATTAGATGCATAAATTTCGAAAACGCCCCACTCCTCACTAATACACCGGAGGGAACAACACCAAGGTTTGAGTGAGATTCTAAGGGCGGCTTCTCAAAAAAACTGTTATGTGAGGCGGGCGACGGCTCTGGGCATACGAATCGGGAGCCACACCCTCACTCTGCTCCGTAAGATCGCGGAGCTCAGAGCGCGTGTAGCGCCATTACTGAGGCCCATTTCTGACAAAGTACCACCTGCTCACTATATAATTTGTCCCTTCTGCTTCTTTATTTCTTTGTATGTTTGCTTGTCCGGAATTTCAGTTCTACTCTAACCATAAGAACAGACCTTACAGACAGATACAGAGAACATAACCTTGGAGAGGCCGGGTTAAGGTTAGGATGGGTAAGGCTTGGGACAAAGTGTAAGGAGCGCACGTAACCCATACTAAGGCCCCCACAATAAGTGGGGAATGCGCCGAATTTCGTGCCAAATTTAGCTGTGTCACGAAAAAATTCGCAATTCGGTTCCAGAGGAGCCCCGAGATGGGGAAAAAGCGCTATAAGGTTAGCAAAGAGGTAGGCTGACTGCCTCAGAACCACATTTCACATATGCAATACGAGTGAGGGTGCAGCCGTGTTGAGCTCCACTGGGGTACCGGCTATGGAAGGCATTTCTGCCCGGGTTCTGATTCTTAGAATGAGGGAAACGTGGAGAAGGCTTCTGCTACGGCCTCAGGTCAGCCCGCTGCCTAAGCTGTAGCTCAATCCTGCTTAACATTTTGAGGTACAGGAATAGCACGAAGCTTCATTATGAAGCAGCACAACTGCAGGAGTAGGATTGAACCTCGGCACGGGTTCTCTTAATGACCTCTTAATGGTCATGTGTTCTGAATGTTGCTAATTCAATAGTTCTCTGACGGCGAGTAAACTTGTCTCCTTGGTACTCGTAAAAGAATTTCTTCGTTTTTTTCGCTGTTTTGAAATATGTTTGTTGGAATGTTGCACTAGATGACCATTTTC